TTTTTCAGTACTGGGGATTGAGCACAGGGGAATTCTACCACTGAGCCACGTATTCAGTCCCTTTTAATTTTTATTTTGAGACAGACCAATGCTAAGTTGCAGAGCTGGCCTCAAATTTGAAAACTTCTGTAGCCTCCAGGGTTGCTGGGATTGCAGGCATGTGCTACCACACACTGGGCTAAAACATCAAAACTAGAGAATAGTAAGGATCACACAACTTTGAGAATGCACTAAAAATCACTGAATTGTACACCTTGAAAGGGAGAGAATAATGGTATATTTCAAGAAAGCTCTTATTAGGGAAAAAAATGATCCTACAAAAGAGGAAAATATTCAAACAAAAAAAAGACCTCAAAACTAGAATAGGAGCCAAGCAAGGTAGTGCACACCTATAATCACAGTGACTGAGGCTGAGGCAGGAGGACTGCAAGCTCAATGGGCATGTGTATATATGTATGTGTGTACATATATACATATATAATATACACACACACACATACATATACACACACACATATATATATTTCATAACAACATATAAATATTAATAGGACACAAAGCAGTAAATAACAAAAGGCTCAATGAAAACCATTGACAATGTAGGCTTCTGAGAATTAAAAAATGGCACAGGGTGTAAGGTATTGTGTTTTTTAAAATATGTGTTCGTAAATCTTTTTTTGTTGTTGACAAAAAAAATGAAATTAAAAATGAGAGGGGATGTCCAGTGCAGTTTCTCATCTGCTTTTGCCATGAGTCCTCTCTAACACTAAAGCTTTAGCAAGTCAAAAAGAAAAAAAAAAAAATTCCAATTTTCCCTTTCCACGCAATCATTAAGTAATAATAAGTAAAACTTTCAAGTAGGTTGAGAGAGACCCAAGTGAATAGTAGGAGAGCCATTCAAAAATGTAGTTTCAGGGGCTGGGGCTGGGGCTGAGTAGCAGAGCCCTTGCTAGCACACGTGAGGCACTGGGTTCGATCCTCAGTACCACATAAAAAAATAAAATAAAGGTATTGTGGCCATCTATAACTAAAAATATATTATTAAAAAATGCACATTCAAGGGGCTGGGATTGTGGCTCAGTGGTAGAGCACTCGCCTCTAGCGTGTGAGACCCTGGGTTCGATCCTCAGCACCACATAAAAATAAATAAACAAAATAAAGATATTGAGCCCATGTATAACTAAAAAAATATTTTAAAAAAATGTACGCCCAAAAGGTTAAGTATCACAATGCACCAGACAACATGTATCTGCTCTTGAGAAGTTAAATCATCCTCAAGTTTCAGCCACTGAAGTTTTAGGATTCTGGTTCCCAAATGACTATCCCAAAAGAAATGTAACATCAGTGATCTGGCTTTTTTCCAAAGCTTCACAAACTAAAATATACCATATTGACTGAAATAACATTCTGGAAGGTCTTTGGGGTGACAGTAAATGTCATAACGTTCTGGAAAGCACATGACTTTGAAAGTCACGAGGAGTTACAGGTGATCTAAATTTTACTAAGTTTTCAGGTATGCCTTACAAAAGATCAGACAACTGAATGACATCATATTTAGCTAAAATTATATACTTACTTTCTAAACATAACACACATATGAACTGTGAAAATTAATACATGCAAAACAATATAAAAATTATCAGACACACTACCAATTCAAGTTAACAGCTCAACTCTTTGGAAATATCTGCATGGACTTTACCACTTAAGGAGTCTCCAAGTTTTAGAATTCAGAGCTGAGAGACCATGTGGGTAGAGAGATACTCTAACAGGAAGATTTTATTAACTAGTTCTATCTCATTATCTCAATATGATTTTAATTGCAAGATGACAAGTAAATTAAATCATATTTTCCAGCTCTCCTGCAAAGTAAAACTGCTTAATGTACAAGTCTCTTTTCCCAACTAATAAGCAAAAATGGACAATAAAAACTACTGCTCAAATGAGATTACTACTCTTATTATTTAAGTTATCTATCTAATATAAAAACATGTTCACTATGTATTTTTTAGCAATATAATTAATCTTATTCTTCTCTGACAGTGAATAAACTCTTGAAGAGGACAACATTTTCATTCTAGGACTAAATCCAAATTTTGGAAAGCATTAAAAAATTCTACAGTATTAGTCCTTTGGAATCTTGCTAAACTGAATAACTTACCAAGCTCCCAAAATAACAACAAAATCCATAACAAGGTAAGCAAAATCTAGACTATTCAAGACATGCAGTCAGCCACATGGAGCCAATACAGCAGAGATTAGACTTCCCAAGTAACAGCAGTACGATGCCTTAAAAGCTCCATTCCACTTGGGAATATCCCCAATGAATTCAGGTGGTAACCAGATCCCTGACACTCAGAATGCTGCATCTTGTATAATAAATATAAAGAAACATGAAGTTTTAGCTTCTTTCACTAGAGAACAGTTTCTAAAAAAACACCCTCGTTCTCCAGAAGCTTGTGTGGTCCATTTCCCTCGGCCTACCCACTTCATTCTGGTGGTTTTATTTTGTTTATTTATTTATTTATTTTGGCGATGCTGGGGATTGAACCCCAAGCCCCACATATACTAGGTAACTGCTCTATGCTCAGCTTCTCTCCCAGCCCGTGTGGGGAGGGATGGTGGGGACTGAACCCAGGGCCTCACTCTTATAGGCAAGTACTCCACCAGTAAACTGCATTCCCAGACCCTGGTCCACAATTTTTAGAAGTTGGGCACTAATCAGAGAGCTGAAACCTTCATTCCTATCCAGAGGTCCAAGCCACTTTGCAAATTCTTTATCAACGTTTAGAAAAGAGAAAGCTAAGTCAAAGATCAGGTGACACGTGTGACTAGAAGGCTGGGAAAGGCAGCTTCAACTCCAGCTCTGGCATCAACCCCTGTGGGGCCTTACCTGAGTCACCCAGTATTAGGGGCTCCAGGACCACCCAAAGTCTAATAGCTCGCTGGGAAGACTCACCGGACTCAGCATAGTCATACAGCAAAATTAATACAACAAAAGAATTAATACAACAAAAGGACACAGCACAAGCAACAAGAGAAAAGGTGTCTGGGGTAAAGACCAGAGGAGACCCGTGTGGCCTCCTAAGTCTCTCCTGGGGAGTAGCGCAGGGCGTTAATTCACCCAGTCCTGAGCTGTGACAGCTGAGTAAAAAACTGTCCACTGGGAAAGCTCCTTAGAGACTCAGCACTCGGGAGGCTTACTGCAGGCTGAGATGCAGACACAGTTAAGCCCTCGCTGAGATGCCAGACTCCCCAAGGGAAATCAGGTGTACAACATAAATCATGGTATGTTGCAGGTTGGACACAGTGATGCTCTCTGATTCCACTCTGGCAATGGCGGAAACCTTCGCCAAATCCACTGTTTCTGCACACCAGCCTGGAGCCAGACTTGTAAGCAGGCCTTGCTGAGGACAGCAGTCTCAGGCCTGCTTTGTTAACTCCTCTCTGCCCTCATTTCCCCAAGATCTCAGTTTCACATGGTTTTCCCCCCTGACCCACTTGCTACCTTCCAACAATGTATAGAAGCCACTCTGTAAGATGGTATAGATTCAGGGCTTCAGGCCTCAGGAAGCCACACAGCAACAAGAGACCATCCCTGGGAGAAAAAAATTTCACTGTTCAAGGCAGTTATCCCAGTGACAATGGTGACCTTATCTTTAAAAAGCCTTCTCCCCCCTCAAGGCCGCCCCTCCCAGTTCATCTGCATCTTTCAGCTTTCCCTAAGAAAGAACTCATAGCATTTCAGACTTTGGATTTTCAGATTAGGGATGCTCAACCTATAATTCTGTCCTCACTGATCATTTTTTGTTAAAAACATGAACAGTTTTAGTTCCATCAAATTATCTTGTATGTAACACAAAACCCACAATGTGTAACATCCAGGCGTGGTGGTGCATGCCTATAATCCTGGCAACTTGGGAGACTAAGGAGGGAGGACCACAAGTTTGGGCTAGCCTGGGCAATTCATGGAGAGACTGTCTCAAAAATAATGTGGGTCAGTGTTTTAAAGTGCCCCTGGGTTCCATCCCTGGCACCAAAAAAATAAGACAGGTGACTCCTCTAAAATAAGACAGGTGACTCCTCTAAAATAAGACAGGTAACTCTTATATACTATTTCAGCATTTCATTCTATATCCAGATGCCCAGTACTCTATAAACTCTTACATAAAACAGAATAGAAAAAGTTAAAAGGTAAGCGAAAAGAACAGGATATGAATCCTGGCTACAACTCTTATTGGCCATGTAATCTTTCAAAAGTCATTTTGCGCCTCTGGGACCTTGCTGTTCTGATGGACACAAGGAAAGTCTCAAACAAGCTGCTCCACAACTGCACTCCCATTCTGATCTCCCAGCAATTTCCCATTACTTTCTTCCTTAAAGGAACAGCATGGGGTAAAGGTTTAGAATTGATTTGGTGCCATCTTTCTCCTTCACAGTTGAAATGATAAATATACAATTGTTATATTACTTTATTTTCATTATAACAAAGAACTATTTGTGGATTCAAGTCATCTTAGATATGACAAGACACTGGTTCCTTGCATTAGCTTCCACACATTGACTGAACAGAAAGCTAACATTTTGAAGATATTTTCCAAAAACACTATGTTATTGCTGGCCAGATACATTCGGGAAAGTCTTTATTAATTCAAATAAATATATCCCAAGCACCTACCATACCTTGTGCTATGTATACACAAGATGCAGAACCACAGAAACTGGAAGAGTACTGGGTGTTAACACCAATCACTTTTTAAAGGTGCTTCTAAAATCAGTATGTGGCATAGGAATGGGCCAGATGTCTAAAGGAGAAAGTCTCATTTGAGAGAGTAGAATAGGAGGGGAACCTTATGTACGATTCAGTCAAGATATCTAACCACCAACCCTCAAACCAAGCATTCTTTGAATAAAATTACCACATCAAAAACAGTACTGCAAAAAGATGGTACCTAGAAAGAGCAGGGTGGGTAGAAAAAAAGGAAAAAGTTTGAACTCACCGGGACTGTGGCAATCCTTTTTTACTGAGATCTGCCCTCACACGTTCTCCTACATGTCTGTAAATTTCCACTAAGCTGTTTATTGCTGCATCTCGAACCTAGATGGAAAAGAAGAGACCTTATAGCTGCTGTGTGTCACTCCCCAGCACTTCCTGCTGGGTCACAACAGGCCACACACCACCCCAACTTATCTGCACAACTAAATACAATCCCTTATACGCCCTGGACTGAAGTCTCGTTTGACAATTTTCCTTCCTAGAGACACCATCCCAAAGTGTAGAAAATGCACAGGTTCCCCACCCCTACATATGTGCTAAAAGTCTATATCCTTAATTCTTTCCATTCTTTAGGATGATGTCAGGAAAACACAATTTTTAGGTCATCTTTCCATGAATTATTTGAAAACAAAAACATCATGCAAAATACTCTGAATTTAAGTTGAGTAAATGTTACTTAATGACCTACAAAAAATGGAGAGTACAGGTTGCACAGACCCCATATTCAAGGAGCTCAAAGTCCTAAAGAGGAGAGGGAGGAAAAATTCCTAAGCTCTACATTTAATACAGGATGCAACAAACATTATTCAACAGCACAAAGAGCACAGTAGAAAGGAGGGTGCAGTCACATCGGGGCATTTCAAGATATGCTGTATGGAAGAGAGGGGCACCTAAAAATGTGCTTGGAAGGAAAGGATGTCACCAGGTCCAGTTGGAAGGAGACAGGTGCAAGGTTTTAAACAAGATCCCACCTGTGCTAAGGCAGAAAAGCAGGGATGCACAGCACGTGCTTCAGGAAGGGCAAGTACTTCAATCTAGCCAGAGAGAAAGAGGAACCAAGACAGCAGCACAAAATCAGGATGGAGAGACAGGGTAGATCCCCACCCCCACCCCAGTTCCCTTGAAGAAATTTGAATGTAGACTGTAAAATAAACAATACTATACTGTACAATATTAAATTTCTTAGGTACAAAAATGACATAGGATTGAGTAAGAAAATATCCTTGCTACGGAATGATACATACTGAGGTTTCTAGGAGTTAAAACAATTTTTTTAGTATAAAATGCCATAATTTCATACTTCTTTATGGCTGATTAATACTCCATTGTGCATATAAATATGTTTAGGCTATACTATCTTGTCGCCCAAAACCTTACTCTATGAACAGATTTGTGTCCATCAAAAAGTAACATCTGCATATTACTTTTAAATGGTTCACTAAAAAAAAGTTACGAGTGCAAATGCATGTATGTGTGTACAAATAAAAAGAGGGGGTAGCTGGGGGGAGCAGTGTAATAAATAGGTAGGCAAAGATGGGGGAGAAACATGATTTTACATTTGGTCCCAAGCAATGAAATCAAAGTACTGGAGTGAAGGAAACAGGTAGGATAGGAATAGAAATAATTTATGGTCTGGATACTGCAGGCTACCCTGTGATTTAATAGTGTCATATGACAGGTAACTTTATTCATAATTCCCCCTCCCCCCCCCCCCCGTGGAAAAGCCAAATCCTCAGCTTTATCATCTTTTTAAAAATTTGTTATTTTTAGATGTGCATGACAGTAGAATGTATTTTGACATATTATACATACATGGAATATAACTTATTCTAATTAGGATCCCATTCTTGTAATTGTATGTCACATGGAGTTTCACTGGTCATGTATTCATCTATGAACATAGGAAAGTTATGTCTGATTCATTCTACTGTGTTCCTTTTCCCATTCCCCTCCCTTCCCTTTATTCCCCTTTGTCTAATCCAATGAACTTCTATTCCTCTATTTCACCCCTTATTGTGTGTTAGCATCCACTTATCAGAGAGAACATCTGGCCTTTGGTTTTTAGCACTTATTTCACTTAGCATGATAGTCTCCAGTTCCATCCATTTAGTATGAAATGCCAAAATTTCATACTTCTTTATGGCTGATTAATACTCCGTTGTGCATATAAACACATTTAGGTTATATTATCTTGTCCCCCAAAACCTTACTCTATAAACTGATTTGTGTCCATCAAAATCCAAATGTTGGAGACCGAACACCCAATGTTACTGTTATGTAGAAATAAGGCCTCTTAGGAGAACAGAGGTTAAATGAGGTCATAAAGGTGGGGCCCTGAAATGAAAAGATGATTAACCTCATAAAAGACATAGAAAGAAGCAGCAGAGAGAGAAGGTGGCCATTTGAAGCCCAGGAAGAGAGTCCTGCCACACTGGCACCCTGGCCTCAGACTTCCAGTCTCCAGAACTGAGAGAAAATGAATGTCTGCTGGTTAAACCCCAGATAGTCTATGTTGTTTCATCACGGCAGTCCAGAAATTTATTCACACAGATTATCAGTTTATGTTGTTAAAACAAAAACACAATCTCTAATGCTAGGAAACATTTTCACATAGCAATAGGCAAACACTACAAAAGTAGTTCATGACACTGTGTCTTGGCAACGAGGAGTAAGAGCACCATCTCTGCTCACTTTCTAGTGATGCCATCTGCTCGTCACATCGGCTGGTCTCCTTAAAAAGCAACCCGTACCAGTTACTTACAAAGTGTAAGCGATAAACAGTTAAAGACACTTAGTGGAATTAGTAGCTTTGAAGTCAATGTAGACCTAAAGACTGACACGGCCACCAGAAGCTGCATGACCTTAGAGGTAATACTGAACTCCTGTAGTCTGCTTCCTCCTCTATTAATTGAGGGTTGCTTTGAGAGATAAAAGAATGGATTCACTCAACAAATACTTGAGTGCTTACTGCTCACACAGACAAGTGGTGAATGATGAGTGAGTGGGACAAGCTGCAGGTAGAAGTGATGTGGCACTGGCAGGGGACCCTGCTAGCTGCTAGAAGAGGGAAGGCAGACTCAGACACACAGGTCTCCATCACCCCACCATGGGATGATGTAGGCATGGCTCTGCCACACCTTGTACACTTTCAAGAAAAGTCAGAAAAATGTGTCTGCCTGCACACTCATCTGAAATCTCTGCGGGTAAAATTAAAACATTCTGCAAACACACACACACTCACACACATATATATAACAATCTGTATGCAATCAGATCTTGCGCCAGTTTTTGACCTACAATTTCTGTATCTGATGCACTCAACACAATGATGATCATTCTCTACATCTTTTAAACAAACATTGTTGGCCTCTAAAATAACCATTCCTCAGACTTAGAAAGCTCCAGGGTCTAAACCAGGCTTTACTGAAGAAATGCAGATGAGCAGATTCTCTTTGGTCCTACAAGATTCAATACTCTAAGTGGGAAGGGAAGGTTAAATGAGAGCAGTTCAGTAGAGAAGGAAGAAAGCATGGTTGCTCACGAATGCACGGGTCTCACACTGCCTCTACCTGCATACCCGTCAGGCCCACCACAGAAAGGAGCCCCCAGCCTCAGGATATTCAGGCTGTGAAAGGTGCCATATATGAAGCACTACCTGCCAAGCACAAGTTGAACACTTTATCTATAAAGTTATCTAGGGTTTCCCGTGGATGCCACGGTGTTCCTTCCTTCCATCCTCAAAGGGGTCCCGTTTCCTAGACACCCAAGAGGGAGTGAAGGCTGGAGAGGTGAACCCCTGCCCCAGAATGGAAGCAGAACTGCCAACTGAGTGCAAGCCTGTGTTCTCCTTTAAGCACACTGCATCCCAACACGGATGTCAACATTAGGGGGAAAAAAAAAAAAAACACTCAGAGGGCTTGACGGCTGGGGTAGTGGGACAGAAAGGCAGCATGTAAAAGTTGCTGAGAGTCTAAATCTCCCCCAACCTCCATCCTCCTGGACATGAGCACAGCCCCAAAGCCAGCTGCCTGGGCAAAAGGGTACCACAGGAGTGCACCAGTACACCCATGAAGCAGGGACACAGCAGCCCTGTCAAACCCTTCACAGAGGCCGGCTTTCTCCCCACCTCTGCACCAGCTGGGAAAGCACTGGTTCATCAGGCATGGAGACATGTTGCAGTAGGCCTTAGAAGAAGTGTGCAGCGCACAGCAGCAGGGGAAAGCCACCTGGAAGCAGCCCCCGTTATGCTGCCTCAGGCGAGGCTAGGAGCCCAATCCACAAAACCCAAGGCTGTCAAGCACAACTAGGGCTCTTCCCTAGTCCAGGACTTCCTACTGTGCAGGCTGCCAGCTTCCTTTACCACAGCCACTGCCCTGCCCCTCTCATCAACATGCTGGGTCTGTGGTGGAATCCACACGTCCAGGAATGAAAGCCTGTCTCCTTAGTATGTGGCTATCACACAACCCTGGGACGGCACACAGGGCCTGGGACAGGACTCTCCACATCGAGATAGGAGAGAAACTGCGGGAAAGCTTATGGAATAGGTTCCTATGCTCTTGGAAAGGGACAGCTGGGGAAGAGTGAATGCTGGTTGGCACTCGATATGAGAGAATTATCCACTACTGGAGGACAGGAGGTGACAGTGTTCTTAGGGTTATGTTTTTAAGGTAAAAGTCCTTATCCTCTGGCATAGTTAGGAATTAAGTAATGTCTAAGATTTGCTTCAACATAATCTAAATTTTGCTTCAAAATAATGGGACGGGGAGGAGAATCAGGAAACTGACGCTGGATGGCACCCTCATTACTTCTGTGCACATTTGAACCTATTTTTTTTTCTTTTGCAGTGCTAGGGATAGAATCTGGAGCCTTGCACATACTAGGCAGCAATTTACCACTAGGCCGCACACCCAACCCTGTCTGAACCTTTCGATGTAAAAAGTCAACAACAGACAGGAGCTTGGGAGGTGAGATCTCCCATCCACCAGGCAGCCAACCCTGCATGTGTGTGGCCTGGCTGCAGAACCAAATACACTCCAAGGGGAGAGCTGTAGAGCACAGCTACACAGTGGAGATGGCGAGATGCTCAGTCTCTGAGGGTGCCACTGGGCCATTAGGAAGCTGGACCTCCCTTCAGGACTACTCCTTGTGCACAGTGGTATTTGCTCCTTGCTCTAGCAACTATAGGCTGGGTTTTTAGTGACTGGCACCAAAAGCATTCTAACCTTCATACTCCATGCATCTATGGCCACTCTGGGAAGCCTCGGGAGGGCTTCTACTGCCCCGAAATACTCAGCTACGCTCAGATGACTAAGGGGGAATTCACATCCTCCAAGGCAGGAGTGACCTGCAGAGTTTATTTAAATACTATGCACTCAGTGCTGGCGGCCACCTGAGGAGCTGCAAGAGAATTTCAGTGGCCACTCGTGAGAGGGTATTGAAGAACTAGAGGCTAACTACTATGTCAGGCACCCGAGTGCAGTGATAGCACCAACAAAACCCAAGTGTACTCTCTGGTCTGAGACTAACGAAGAAGGGAAAGTTCATCCAGAGTTATGGGGTGGCCAGGAACTGTAAAGAACAGCAAGTTATAATCTTCATCCTCAAGGCCAGAGCCTAGGAGGAAAAACTGATGAAAAAATTAAAATAAAGACAAGTAAGGACATGGGGGTGCAGTTCAATGGAAGACTGCGTACTTAGCATGCACATGTCTTGGGTTCAATCTCCAGAACCAAATACACTGATATAAAAGCACATGCAACTTACGTTAAGAACCCCAGAAGGAGCAGTGATCAACTTGATTAGTGCAAGGGAAGCAAGGTGGCAGGGTTTCTGGGAGCGGTGGTACATATATGTGCATGCAAATGTACAGATAAGACACGACTAAGGCAGTTTAGATACAAGGATTAATTGCAGAGTACTGTGTGTGGGATCCCCAGGTCACACATCCTGTCTACTAGACTATGAAAAGCTGCCCATACAGTCACAAACTGCATTTTATAGCAGGGGAAAAAAATGAAAAAGCAATAAGAACTTTCTTCCAACCAGAGGCACAAAGACCTAGGACTCAATCCATAAAACTTAGTGCAGGAAGTGGTAGCTTTGAACTTTGGGCTTCATGAAATATTTTAAACAAGTTTTGCATTTTTCCTCTTAGAAAAAGAAATTATTTTCTTATTTCTTCATAAATATATAAATATATATATAATAATCTTTATATGATTATTTAGACAGCAGCAAGAAACAATTCCACTAAAAGGTGTTTCTTTTGCATTTAAGTTATACTTATGATTACCATTGAGAATCGGTCCAAGAGCATCCAGCTTTTGGTAATGACACTGATTTTTGGTACACAGAGGGTTCTCAATGTTTGGTATAAAAGAAATATGTCTATGACAATATCACAAATACATTTCAAGACACCAATGCCTGTCCTGTGATTTAAGAATTTTCATATATTCAAAACACTATATCTAAGAATTTCTTAGAAACTCACTGGAATGTGGCAGGTGTGAGATTTCTGCAAATGAAAATGGCCATCAGGCCACAAGGAGACTTCCAAGTAACTTGGCCCTTCTAAGGGTCTTCTACTTGGCTCAATGGTCAGGCCAGCAGGTAAGAACAGTCACCCTCCCAAGTACTTTCACAAGGAGTGAGGAGCAAGGCAATCATCACCGCCCTGAGAGGGAAACTGCAGTTCAAGATCCAAGTGCCCACTAACGTCAACTAGCTATAAAGTGCAAAGGCAGGACCAAGCCCAGTCCCGTGTTTTCCACCTAGGCGTTCCGGCACCACACTAGGCAGCTCGAAGTTGTAAATACACTCTACCTTCTGACACCTTTAAAACACTATACCAAACTGCTCAAGTTTGATGCTACCTTAATCTCTTAGATAACTGAATGTTTTCCAAATACATGATCATTCTGGTCACATGTAATTTAATCTGTGGTGCTTCTAAAATAAGGAAAACCTTACTAAAATCCCTCACAAATTAACCCCTTCTCTAGACCTAAAGGAACAAAACTGCATCAGGGAACAACCCAACACAAGGACAGATCAGTCTCTCCTATCCCTTCTGCAGAATCTTCAAGGAACTTCTTAGTGGTGATGAGGCCAGGGGTTGCTAACTGAGGCTTCCCCTATTAGGAAACTTCAGAAGAAAACCTATGAAGAATTCTACATTCTTGGAGGCTTGTCTGAACAGCTTTCAGTATGAGAATGTCACTGTTTCGAAACTTTAAATGTTAAGAAAACTTCATTCTCAGTGACTCTCAAAATCTACATGGAATCTGTGATCTTTCAGGCAGGGAAATACTGAGTTTTTCCCCCACAGTACACATCAGTGGAGAGTCCTGGCCTAACAATGTCTCCTCCATGTGCCTCTGGAGGATGGTGTCCATCTCAGTTACAGAAACAAAACCTGAGACCCCAAACAACACCAAGCCAGCAACCTTCCCCCAACCCTGCAAAGCCTAAGCTTCTACTCCAACAGTAGAAGCTCATAGCTAGTGTATATGGAAGAAAAGAAGGGACAGAGAGGCAGAATGAGAACATGAATCATGCTGCAGTGTGGCACACAGTGACACCTGATGGTACACAGCAACATCCACCCCCCTCACCAAGTCAGACTCTGGACAATGTCACACTGTCATCCCAGGTCACATGTGTCTAGCCTACCTTCACAGTTAAAGTGTACTGTGGATGTGCACTCAGGTCCAGTGTTAACATTCATGTCACCAACCTGGCCAGTGTAAGCATCTGAATTAAGGACAATCAACCTTGACTAAAGAAGATGGCATTTCTGCTTGGCAAATACGCACCATGTATTAGGTGTGACATACTCAGTGTAGCCTCTAGAAAGGGGCTCTTCTGTTGAGGACAGCACGGCGGTGCATGCCTGTAATCCCAGTGACTTGGGGAACTGAGTTCAAAGCCAGCCTCAGCAATTTAGTGAGGCCCTAAGGAACTTCGCAAGACCCTGTCTCAAAAAATAAAAATGGTTGGGATGTGGCTCAGTAGTTAAGTGCCTCTGGGTTCAATCCCTAGTACCAAAACAAAACAAGACAAAAACAGACAAGACCAAGGCAGGGAATGTGGCAAGATAAGCCATTGGATAATCTAGGATTTTTTTTTTTTAAATTAAAGATAATCTAGGATTTTTTTTAACTTAAAAGTAAAACTAATACTGACTAGGAAGCATGATTCAGTAAGCATAAGTACCTAATAGCTGTATTTCCAGTGCCATGCAGCTTCAGTGAAGGCTGAGTGGGAGAAAATGGGACAAGCAAAGGAAAAAGCAAGGACCACACAGCACAAGAGATGCCAGAGAGAAGATGAGAAACTGCCGTGGGACTCGAGAGCAAAGACAAAAGGAAGAACAGGAGGGACACAGACCCAGCAAGACCTAGGGGCTGGCACCTAAGTGGAAGGAGAGATGGCACAGCCTTGTTGGAGGGTGATTTGTTAACAATTGAGACTTAAAATGAGATGCCTATTCATCAGATATATTTCTTTTATAATTTACTGCCACATTTTCTGCCCCTCTGTCTAGGAAAACACCTATCCCTCTGTATGAGCTGGTATAATAAAAATGACTCTGGGTGAGAAACAAGCAAACTGGGCAAGACAGATGGTCTTGTGGAGCTCAGACCTGGAAGCTTCCTGAGCTGCCTGATGGCCACAGCAGATGTCACCAGACTGTGATGCCTAGTAACCACAGAGCACGTGACTAGCTCCTCTCCACCTTTTTTTTTTTTTTAAAGCATTCTTTATTGTTTAGACATAGCTACTTTTCATTTACTTATTGCTAAAATGAATTCAAATGTGTAGTTTCTTTTATGCTAGAGCAAACCAGGAAATCAGGACACAACTGCCATCGTTAAATTTTAATCTTCAGAGAACAGGATCTCCACAAGGCTGGCCTGAAGACACTCAGATTCCACCAGTTTTTGAGATGTTCCCTATTTAATTAGTGGAGGGACTGCAGTTACTTTCAGTTGTTTTCTGAAGTCATCAATTGGATCTTTCCAAGAAGTTTTTTCTCCTACTTGGCAGTGGATGAACACCCAGCCTTTACTGATAGGCTTCAGCCCCTCTCGAATGACTGGGATACCACCAGCTGTTCCCTTCGGTGTCCTTAGAACCCATAAAGTACAGGAAAATAGTCTTGCCGAGGTGCTGCTTCACAGCCTGACTCAACTCCTGGAAGCCCAACATGCTCACCTCCTCATAGACAGCCATGGGTACTGTGCACTGTTCGGGGCAGAAAGAGTCCACTGATGCTGGGCAGAACCCCCTCAGGGTGGGGGGATACCACTTCCTGATGTCCTCTCCACCTTACACTAAAAAGTGCTTTGCCTTTTGCAATTTAGGTAAAATTTGTTTCAAGCACAATTCTTAAGGAAACAGTACAAGCACTGTCCACAGTGATACAGCAGCAAGCATAGACACTGCCCGGAGCAAAATACAGAAGATGCCCTCAGATCCTTTCCTAGTCACTCTTCCCGGTCCCACCCTCACCCTTTTTGGCTTAAGAGATAGTGACCAGAGTGGTCCTATCTTGGAGGCTGAACTGGATGACAGCAATTTATAGAGGTCAGTGATTTCACAGCCCTACATAAGAGAGGGAACCGAGCAGCCACAACTTTACCAGTATTTCATGAATAATAACTGGTAGCTAATGTCATACACAATGATCAGAATTCTATGAAGATGAGCGAGCCCTACCCACCTACCGGCCCTACAGAGAACACCAAAGTTCATCTGAGCACTCAGTAAATAAACGATTTCCCCCCAGGATTTTCTTCCTCACTCACCTGGCTGTTTGGGTCTCCAAGTAAGTTACATATGTGTGGCACGATCTTGCTTAGTGTCAGAGTATGTGCTCCAGAGCTGAGAACAAAAGGGGTGTGTGACTGTTAGTGAGAACTAAGGAAAAGAAAGAAGCCCCTTTGCCCACAGCCGCCCCTCCTCCACTTCCCAGAGTGCAACCACCCTCACAATACGGCCCTCTCCACCCCAATGGGCCCTTTCCCAGGAGTTCAAGCCCCTCAGTGGCCCTGACCTTTAGAGGCTAAGCCAGAAGCCTGCTCCCACCATAGTGCTTGCCTCACCCATGACACCTCTGCCCTGTGCTTTGTCATGTCATAGTATCTGTCCTGACAAGCTCAGTGACCAACCAAACTGCAAGTCCCTTGAAGCTACCCCTGGAGGTCCTCGTGCTCTATGGAATAGCTCCTGCTATAGCAGACATTCCGTTAATGCTGCTGGATGACAAAACTGTGATGGAGTGGCCGCAGGACTTCCGACCACATACTGCCCTGCTGGGAGACCTTCAGGTATTCACAACTCTTCCCCATCACAAGCACAGTTGCCACAAACGCCCTTTGTTAATACTTTATATAAATGGTAGAGACAACTCTAGAAAATATTTCAGTAGTTTCTTTCAAAACTAAAAAATAACCCTGCCACTGTACTCTTGGGCAATGACCTAAGAGAAATAAAAACAACATACCTGCAGAAATTTAGACATATTTGTGTACACACATTTATAGCAACTCTATTCCTAATAATCCCAAACTATTCCTAATAGTCCCAAACCCAAATTTTCTTCAACAGTTGAATGGTTCAACAAACTAGGATACATCTATAGCATGAATTCTCAGCAATAAAACAAAATGAATTACTGTCACTGTCAATAACAGATATTACAACCTCAAGGGAATTATGCAGACTAAAAAGGCTCTCAAAAGATTACATATGGAATTATTCCATTTTTATGACAAAATGACAGAGATGGAACACAGACTAGTTATCCAGGCAACAGGGCAGCAGGTGGGAGACCTGTGAGTACTGGTGTGCATACACAGAAGCCACACATGTATACCTGGAGCAATCTGAATAAGCTCTGTGAGCTGTGCCAATATCCCTTTCCCAGAGTTGACACTGTACTACCTGCAGTTCACTGTACTGCAGTTATGGAAAACGTCAGCACAGGCAGGGGGATACACCTCCCACTACATTTCTTTGCAGCTTCCCATAAATCTATAACTTCCAAAATAAAAAGTGTATTAAAAAGCTTAAGCCAAGTAAAACTTATAAGTTCACCCCAGACTTACGCATTGAGTGTTGCAATAAGGCAGAGACAGATGCCTTCTCTTGTACGGAAATTCTTGTGTTTGAAGCCTCCAAGCATTCTGTCCCATACATACTGCAGGTAAAAGAACAGGTGAGAGGACAGAAATAGCTGCAGCCCTTCCCTTGGGTTGCAGAGGAGGAGCCTCTTAGAAGGTGCCAACCTGGTCCCATCCTCCATCAGCCCCCTCGGCCCTCTCCACAGCATATTGAAGAACAATGGCTCGTACCATTTTATCAAACACATCATGTTAAAATGTTCAAAATGCATACATTTATAGAATTTTATTTAATTCCATCAACACCTCTTAAAAGAGAGGTATAACTGGCCTTGTTTTATAAGTGAGAAGAACAAGACCAAAAGAGAAGAGATGACTTGACAAAGACCCTGTAACACTCACACTGCTCTATGCCTGGGACAACTCTACCCAGGCACAAGTCACACACTTGGTCATCTTCTATGGCCAATTTAATCTTCCTCAGAAAGGCTTTTACTGATGATCATCCCCACCTCACCACCAACAATGGACAGTGGGACCCTGACAGGCTGCATCCAATCATCCCAGCAGGCCCAGCTCCACAGCAGATAGAGCCCAGGGATCCAGCCAGTGCCCCTAGCTTCCCAGATACCAGGGCTGCCTCCTTTTGGGGAAAAGGGGGAGACAGTGGTGAAAATGAGTTAAAGAGCCTAACTGATAAACCAAGCATCCAAAACCCATGTTAAATCCACTAATTTATTCAAATGATGGGTTCTGCTACTTATTTAAACATCTTATATTAGGGGACAGATTAAATATATGAAAATGCTCCCCTGTAACACACCAACTTAAAAGAAATTAAATCTATGGAATAAAATGCTGTTTGTCCAAGTGGACACATGCCCACTGACCCCAGAATGCTTCTCTCACCTACCTGGGGATTAGCAGCTTGATCCATGATCTTTAGCAGCAGAGTTTGGTCTTGCTCCCTCACAGAGTCTTTAGCATCTCCCAGTCTGTCTATTAGACTTGGCAGCACTGAAAATCAACATGGAAATTGATCAAATGGAAACCAAATGGTGTGTGTGTGTGGGCGGGGGGGGGGGGGGGTGTCATCAACTGCTAATATTTCAACTAATTAAGAAGATAAACCACTGGCCTAACTCGTGTACCTCATTCTAAGACGGCCCATTTTTGTGCACAACTCTACTCTTCTTGATGAAATGCAAGAATTATCAAAAGAATCCACAAAATCCACTGCATAGACAAATTGCAAAACCAACTGGCTTGGTTTTGCGTCAGTTTTGCAGGGCTTCTTAAAACAGTTCTATAAAAGAAAGGTTGGGGACAAATATGAGTGGGTCGGTACTAAAGAATGATGGCTACTTTTGCACAAGAAATCAAGCTGGCAATAACATTTCATTATCAGAACACGTATTATTAACGTTCCATATTAGAACATGAAGACTGGGGGAAAAACAACAGAAAAGTACAATGCAATAAGGCCAGTGATGTGTGGTCTGGGGAAAGCAGAAGGAAACAGAGCTGGGAAGCAGGGTTGGCAGGGAGCGAAGGGTGGCTGGAGGAACTGAGAAGACTCAGGGAAGGCAGCGGGGCTGCAGAGAGGAGAATCCAGGTCCGCTCCACACCTGCCCACAGCTCACCTGTGCCGATTTGCGCCTTGAACCGATCCTGCAGCCGGGTCACCAGAGCCGACAGGATGTCCATGCCCAGAAGAACCACCTGCAACGGGAAACAGCAGGAGCCGGTCAGCGGCGGGCCCGGGGAGCAATGCCCCCGCCCACCCACTCAAAGAACGCCCCAGCATGTCTGGCCCGACGTTATCCGGAGCCCGTAGCGCGGGCGCCGACTGGGAAAACTAAACTGGCCAGAGGAAGGAGGCTGTCGCACAAAACAGCCGTTTACAGTTTTGGTAGAAAACACTCAGTGCCAAAAAAACGAAAATAAGCAGCCACGCATGGCCCAGCTCCCCGGCGCCAAGAAGAGCTCCTCGCGGCCCCGCCCTCTGTCAGCCCCGCCCCATCAAGCGCGTATGCAAATTATCGGTCGGCAGGCGCAAGATCTTCTGGGTAAAACAAACCCTTCGTTTTTGCGGCCCTCCGAAGCCTCAGAAAATGGGGGTAGGTGGTTTGAGTCGGGAGCTAAGATCACTAGAAGTACGCTAACTACCAGGCAGGCTAGGGCGGGACTCCTGAAATTAGTCACCACAACCCTACCTGGTATTGGCGCTTCCAGCTCGCAGTGCACGCAAGCTCGCGCTCAACCATCCTTTTCTTGGGGTTGCGTTACTGTCCAATGAGCGTCAAGTGAGGGCAGTACTGCTAACACCTACACAACACACTCGCATCAATTAGAGCTTTGCTTTATTTTGGTGCAATTTTTGGAAAAATGAAAAACCTCTTTTCCCTGCGTTCTGAGTTTAAAAATAGCTAACTTAATCTTAAAACTAGATCGCTTTACTTGGCCATCGCTAGGTGGCGTAACACACTCACTGTTTAGAACTTTTGAAGACTGTATTATCACAAAACCCACTCCCACTTCACCATCACCCGATTTCTAATACTTGTGATTTGAGATACCGAACCCATTATTCAAAAAGGAAACACTATTGGAAGTACTTGTAATACTGCCTGTCGTTGCTCTTCCAATTCATGATTCCTCCAACTATGGCTAGCAAAAAACTAGGCTTCATATTTAGTTGTTATCCACTGCTTCTAAAGAAATCCAAATTTGCCCAATAACCAGAACACATGAATTGGCGTGGCCTCTCAAGGAAATAGCTGTTTGACAATATATTAAGTGAAGGTTGATTTGTAGACAAATTTTTATACTATTATGTAATGGTATTTTAAAAAGCTAAAATAGTGACTTTTTTATATTATTATGATGTGGATTTTTCCTTTTTGTAGATGGATACAATATCTTTGTTTATTACTTTGCTTTTGAGCTTTAAAAACGTTCCACATTTAACTTCCTTCTTATAAATACAGTATAGGGCGTAGTGATCTTGCAGTGACAGATGTTACCCCAGCCAGATGATGAAGGTCAATCAGCAATCAAATCATGCTGGTGGTGTGTATTCTTGATATTATGGAAAAGGCACTCTTTATTTCTAGGACAGTCCTCCCAACAACCAGTAAGTCCAGTCTTATCATGAGAAAAAAAAAAAAAAAAAAAGCAAGAAAATTCCAAGAACAGGGCTCCTATAAAACACATGACCAGTGCTCCTCAAAATGTCCAGGTCATTAAAAACAAGGAAGACTGAGAAATTGTTACAGCTAAAAGACACCAAAGGAAACATAACAATTAATGTAAAATGGTATTTTGGATGGGATTCTGGAACAGAAAAATAACAGATTTTTCTTAAATTAAAAACTAAGTAAATCATCACTAGTAAAAACTAAGTAACAAAGCATAGATTTTCACCAATAATAATGTATCGATATTGGCTTATAAAGTGTAAGAAATATTGCATACTAATGTTAGATGTAATGACAAGGAGAAGAGGAATAAGATACATAGGGACACACTGCTTTATCTGCAATATTTCTGTAAATTCAAAACCTTTATAAAAAATAAAATTTTGTGGCATTTTTGGGTTTGTTTTGCTTGCAGTGCTAGTGATTTAACCCAGGCTAGGCAAGTACTCCTATCACGGAGCTACCTTCCCAGCCCAAAGTGCAGTTTTCAGAAACAAGTAACCCATCACTTCACTGGAACTGACTCTCCCCTGATGACATCATAGGCAGCTGCACAGTTGCATTTCTGGTTGGATTATTACAAAATATTAAGAGTGCTGCCGTCAGATCGCACCACACCTTTCAAGTCACTCAAGACTAAGGTGTGAGAGGACTACTGCATTTTCAGATATGACAGCCCAGGTGGATTAAGCTATCCATGAGATCTAGGAGGGCAACTTTAGCTCTTCCAGAATGCAGTTCCAGGTACTTACAGAGCAACTGGACTTTGGAGGGAAGCAAAGGGACTTGCCACACACAGTTGTCTAGTTCGCCCTCAGTAACACACCCAAGGACAAGGACAGGAATCACCAGCACCAGTGTGTCTTCACAGCTCAGGCCCCTCTCCTGTTTCTATTTCACCACTGAAGATGGGGACACATAAAAAAGTCCTTGCCCAAAAGGTCACTCTAAATATTAGCTGGGGAACCTCTGTGCCTTAGTTCCCTCTTCTCTAAAACAGCTACGTCACAGGCGGTGGTGACCATTCAATGCAGTGTGCATATAAAGTGAGTGAGCTAGGGCCGCGTACACGGTAAGGGCTGGACTACACACAGAATGATCATCCTCACAGATCAGTGCCATTGCCACTGGCACCCACCATGGGTGACAGGAACTGGGCTGGCAGAGAAGGCATCCCAGAAAGTGCACAGGGCTACATTTTGAAAGGACGGAGCTACGCATCAAAGAGATGAAGAGACCTCTGTGCAGAGGGAAGAGCGAATGTTAAGCTGCTGGCAGTGATATGGCCAGATACAGGAGCCACAGGGGACATCCCCAAAACAGCCAGGGGTCCCCAGATAGTGGAGAATCACTGAAGGGCTGTAAGGAAGGGGTAGGTACTAGGGGAGCTGGAGCCTTTAGAGAGGACAGTGGCCACCATGGTGAAGATGGTCTGGAGGCTCTCACCCAGCACTTGCTTTTGTAGAGCCTTTGAACACCTCCTCCAGCATTTTTTCCAGTCACTGGTGTTTATACTTGCTTCATAGCTGAACTCCTGTAATGTGAGGAATCCTACGTCCATTTCCTCAGAACTCCCCTGGTATACAGTGGCACAATGCTGGGTACGTAGCAGTGTAGACCCCTACTCAACTAGAACCAGACTGGAACAGATGGGTTCTCCGAGCCCAACACAGTTTCTTTATCTTAAAAACTTTAAAAAGATACTCCCATAAAGGAGGTAGATATAGCTAAGTAATTGGACCAAAGTTCCCGCTGAGAACAACAAAAAATGCTTGGCATAATAGAACATCTGCTTAGAACCCTCTGAAGGAACAGGAGAACCACCGAGTCAAGGCACGAAAGATGACTGAGGCTTGCAGAGATGCACCCTGGTGATGGGTCCACTTCTGCCCTGGGCCATTATCCATAGAGAGGGGCAACTGAAACACTGAGGATGGTTTCTGATCTCCTCCTGACTCACCAAGCATGACAAAGTCAAGACCCCAAAGGTCTCCAGGGTTGGTGTAGAGGGGTAGCCGTCTACAACTGGGGCTAGAAATCCAAATGGCTAGGCCTTGGCTGCTGGGTGGCCCAGCAAAGTCCTAATCGCTGACCTCAGACTAAGGTGATTTTAGAACGTGTATGCCCTAAAGCCCCTCGGACATAAAGACATAAATTATTTCAGGGTAAAGAGAACATCATCATAGTCTACCTCAATTTATTTCTGGAAGTTTTTCAAAAGTAATATTCAAAATTCAACCAGAGATAACCAGGCACAAAGGGCATCATAATTTAAACTAGCAGAAATAAAGGCCCACTTGAATTCTTAACCTGAGAATAATCAGAAATAAATTTTAAAATGATAATTCTTACTGAGAAAATAAACACAGAATTGAAATTTGGGGAAGAGAAATGGCAGCTTTTGAAAAGTTACACCAATTTTTTTTAAAAACAAGTAACAGACAAAATTAAGTACTCAGTGGATGGGCTATGTCTAAAGCACATTGGATATAGTAGCTTTGTTTTTTTTAATACTTTTTTTTAATATTTATTTTTTTTTAGTTTTCGGTGGACACAACATCTTTGTTTGTATGTGGTGCTGAGGATCGAACCCTGGTCGCACGCATGCCAGGCGAGCGCGCTACCGCTTGAGCCACATCCCCAGCCCGATACAGTAGCTTTGGAAAATGACATAATGGCTCTTTAAAAAAATTAACATTACCATATGATCCAGCAAATCCACTTCTGGATATATACCTAAAATTAGCATCTCACAAATATTTATATGCCCTTGTTCACAGCATCATTATTTACAATAGCTGAGAGGTGAGAAGCCAAAGTAACCATCTTTAGGTGAGTTGGACATACAAAATGTGGTCTTATCCATACAGTACAACATTTTTGGCCTTAGAAAGCAAAGAAATTTTGATATATAGTTCCCCACCTTATTCACTGTTTCTTTCTGTGGTTTGCTATACACAACCACAGTCCAGAAATACTGCCTGGAAAATTCCAGAAATAAACAATTCATAAGTTTCAAATTGTGTACTGTTTTGAAGAGCAGAATGAAATCTTGTGTTTTACTGTTTAGTTCCACCCAGGACATTAATCATCCCTCTGGTATCCATGCTATATACACTACCTGCCTGTTAGTTACTCAGCAACAATCTCGGCTATAAATCATCCGTCAAGTTTCATAGCGCTTGTGTTCAAATTACCATCATTTCACTTAAAACAGTTCCCAAAATGCAAGAGTAGTGACTCTAGTAATTTGGATCTGCCAAAGAGAAGCTTTCTTAAAGCAAGAAATTAAACTAAAGGAAAATTCAAATGCTGAGGTTGCTCAGATCTGCAGTACAATGAGCTATTTTGAGAGAGAAACCACATTCTCATACTTTTATTATGTATACTGTTCTATTATTGCTATTGTCCAAGTCTCACTGCGCCTAATTTATTACAGAACTGTGGCTAAACTTTATCATGGATTAGGTATGCAAGGGAAAAAAACAAACACAGTACCTCTAGAGTTCAGTATGATCTGCA